GTTACCGTTGTCAACTAATAAGTTGTATGAAAAAAAATGATTTAAGAGTTATTTTTTTAATTAAATCTTTATTACTATGCAACTGATTACATTTCTTTAAATAAAAACTGTGTCTACATCTTATTTTTATGAAAAATACAATTTTTCTCAGTGCAGTCAAATTAATTTATACTTTAACTGCAACGCTGCATTTTTAGTTTCAGTTATAAATTGTCATACATTTCAATTTAGTATAATGTATCTTGACGGGATGTCAACTTACACACAGTTATCCATTGCTTACCAAAACTTGGAAAAATATAAAGGTAAAATATGATTAAACAATACATATTTTGAAGTTAATGATCGTGTACATTGTAAATTTGTAAATAGACAAATACAAGTTTTTTTTTGTGCTAAGAATTTATAAATATGAAATACTTACTGACGGAAAAGTAAGCAAGTTATCTTAATATTGATAAACATTAATAATTATTTGTTTGTTAACAACGTTTTCTGGACGCACTCGATTGAGTTCGGACCATTGAGTAGTACTACTAAATGGTTTGAACTGAGAAAATCTGATGCTAATAATACATTTTTGATTCCAATTAGAATTGTTTGGACTTTAATATCCTAGTAGAGCGATGTTCGAAAGAGTTGTGATAATATTTTCTGCAAAAAAATATTTTACAGAATATTATTGGTGATTATTATGCCTTACACGTTACAGTACTCATACCATCCAACAAACAGTTACAGTAAAACATAATATTATAATATTTTTTAAATTTTTTATGTAGAACTGATACAATCTGTACATCAAAAAGTACAATGAGCATAGGTAATGGGTGTTTCTTAAATTAAATTAGGTCCAGTGACTTGATTGTCGTTTGGGAAAAACCAACCAGTGAAGGCATTTCAGCTTGAATTTGAAATCATTTAGGTATTTCAATATATTTTATAGTTTAATTTAATATTATAACCTACACGGAAAAAGGTGGACATACGTATTTTTTTTAACTCAAGATGGTACTTATTTAAAGTAAAAACATGGTGTTGGTAGAAGCAAGTACCATGAATTCCATGTCATGCTCCGAATAATAACAATTACTACTTAAAATTAATACGCATAAAAGCTCTATACCTACTTTTAGCAAAAGATTGTAATTCGAGGAATTAAATGAAATTCCTTATAGAATTTATCGTTTATTTTTTTATTAAAAATACTTAATGTAATTTATCGTACTAAACATCTCGTTGTGTATTATTTATAGTTTGTTTTTAGTTCTTTGTCAATTGTATGGAACGTTTGTTTTAAATAAAATAAACTATTATGACTCGAATTACCTAAATTATATTTATTTTTATCGGACATTTTAATTATTGTTATATTTTGTTAACGTAATATATTTACAATTTTACATTTATAGCATATTGTACAGTGCAGAAATTACTGTAATGCAAACTGTACAATGAAATATAAAAAAATGACAATTTGAAAATTTGAAAATTTGTTGTGTACGTTGTATGTTGTATGTTGTGCTCTAATGTATGTATTACATTATCTTTTAAACATAGAATATATTAAAGTGCTATTTAAAAGAAAAAAAATAATGTAACTAAAAATTAATATTATAAATAATGAATATTACTAACGAGCAGATAATATCATAACTAGCCTAATTTGTTTATGTGGAGTACACGTTTTTATTACTAGGACACTGATTTTTTTTTTGTGTAAATTTGCATTCATTAGACCCTCATTAAAAAAAAAAAAACTTTTAATATTTACACATTGTTAAGGATTAGTCATAGGGAATCACTGGAATCATTGAATTGACCGATTATATGTGATTAATATATTATGCTTAAATTTTTTATAGAACGCATAAACGTTCTAGTTTAAGTTATCAACCATACAAATATATTGTAAACGAGATAAAATGACACGTATGTAACATACATAACAGATACATTAGTATTTTTTATATTATAATTGTTTACTTCCAGTCAAATAATGTTAATATCAGAATTTATTATTTTCGGTTCGCTCAATAAATATTGATTTATCATTGGAGTTCAAGAAATAAGACTTTTTTTTTATCCAGTTCACAATGAATTTGACGGTAAAATACGATCAGTCCAGATTGTTGAAGAAACGTTTTATTTTTTTAAATAAATTTTAATAGGTACCTGTGCTTTGTGACAATATTTCAAACATGACATCTTACGCCTAATGATTCGATTTAATTTTGCAAATTAAAATTTAGAGATTATTTCTACTTCAGTATGCTCTTTTGTATTAAATTATTGTTATTGTATTTGTATGTCTAAAAATTTGAAACTTTTTTAATGCAAACAATGAAACTCCGTGAAATTAAAAAATAACTGTTGCATATAAATTATTATTGTGTTATGTCAAGTTATGTAATAAGGTAGATGTTAAAAAAAAAATATATATATAATATTATATAGAGGATGATTCACCAAGCATGGTAACCCCTATTTTTAATTTAATAATACATTTATTAAAATTCTGATTTTTGGGATTATTAAATATACTCAAAGAATATATTTTCAAATTCTTGAATTTTCTTGTGCTATTTAAGGAGTGTCCTGTGGTGATATAAACTTCTATTTTTAAAAAATTAGAACTATCTTTTACTGTAAATTAATTAGTGGATAGTGTTTTTGAAAATTTTGATGTACCACATTCAAAATTCAAATGAGTAGTATCTTAGTTATTGAAAACAGTATTAATGATAATAGTCCTTACAAATGGTTTTACATAAATATAAAGTAAATATAAAATTGGATCTAGTATTTATTAAACTTGGACCATTTTTACAAAACTATTAATCTTGATAGATTAGTATTGTTGGTTTAAATTTTCAAAAAACACTATTTCCCTCACATCTTATGAATTCATTACTATGGACATTTTATTCCTAGAATACAAAGTTAAATAATTCAAAAACTACTAGTACCTACGAATTTTGATTTTGGTACGTTAAACATTTTAGAAAAATTATCTACTATATAATTTATAGATAAATAGGGGTGTTCTCATTTGAAAAATAGAAGTTTATATTTTCACAGGAAACTCCTTACGTAGTACAAAAAATCACAAGAATTTGAAAATATGGTCTTGAAGTACATTTAAAAATTAAAAAATTGATTTTGAAAAACTTCATTATTGGAGAAAAAAGGGGTTACACATGCTTTGGGAATCACCCTATACATATGTATATATATATATAATCACCAAAGTTTATCTTACAAAGGCCAATATATTTTCTAATATTAAAAAATATATATAATTGTTAGTTGGTTATTAAATTTATGGCCTATAAAATAAAATATATAATCTCCAGATTTGCGGAGAGGATTATTTATCCTAGTTCAGATAGGATATAATATAGTAATATACAGTATTAAAATATTTATAATCAGAGTTCAGGTTTATATGTTTTCAAACCATTTATATCAATTTAAAAAGTCAGATGTATGTACAGTAAATTTAAAATACCCAATTGTTTCTTCTACCAAACAGAATGCGGATGGTTTTATGTGCCCGTACACAATCGGTTTATTCTTAAGGAATAAATGGATGGGATGGTGTCTATGAAGTACACTTAAAAATGTTAGAAATAACTATAAATTCCCTGTTAAAAATTAATTTAATAAACTATATAGAACAAATACCAGCATACTCTGTAGGAATTAAAATTTAAAAACATTATTCAACACCTTCATGCAAAAGAAATTCTGCTAAATTTATATCATTTGAAGTGTACTGAAGTCTATTTTGCATATAATTATCGTACACGGCAAGTTAGATTATAATGTTTTTAGAAAAAATAATTGAAATACAGAAAAAGAGATCCTTTAAATATTAGCTGTGGAATGTTAGGTTTGAAATTAAGGTTTAAAATTTGGTATCAACATTTTCAGTTTTTATTATTTTAATAGTTACAAAAAATATATTAGCACTAAAGTCAAATATCTTTTGTAATTTTCATGATATTGTTTTTTACAGGATAGGTACAAGGATAGGTACCATGTATCTATTATTAGTAAATTGTTTATTTATATATTAGTTTATTTCAGTTTGGCTGTATTAATATTTATTTTATACATAGATATTCTTTTGTTTTTAGTATTTATTTTTGGTATTTCTCTTATATTTGAATAAGTAATAAAAACACTTTAAGCATATTAATTTGTTTTGCTAGAGAGAACCTATCTATACAAAAACATATACCTATTTATTCTCAGTACCTACAATTAGGATATTTTTGTATTTTGTTACATTATAGTTTGAAATGTATGTTGTGAAGAAAATCTAAGAAATCACTCATCGGAGACATTTTTGTCAGTTAAAAAATTCAAAACATACAATAATACAAATTATGTATACAGTCATACAGATTAAGATCATATTAAGGCGTGTGGTTAAATATCAGGGCTCATATCAATATAATTACATCATATTGTATTGTTTAATTTGATGATTCTTTTGTACGTATACCATTAAATTTCTTACAATATATTAGAAAATAATATACTTGGTGTACCTATAAAAAGAGTAAAATATGCAAAAAAAAAAATATAAAACTTCAGCTTATTTTTTTTAAAATTCCATGTAATAGAAAAATGTAGTAAATTGTAACTGATAAAAAATAATATTTGTTTAAAATACAATATGAATTCGAGCCATGTTTGTAATAATTTAATGAAAACCCTTAAGTGCTTGTAATAATTTGTATTGTTGTGTACACGACCAAACACAAGCCTAGGCTGCCTGTTGCACCACCACAATAGTTAAAAATATAAAATAGGTACCTACCATTCCCGGTATAGTATCATTTTACGGTTTTACCCGTCATTTCGACAAATATTTGGTAACATTCAGCCAACCATGGCAACAAGTCTGCAAAATCGCGTTTGTTCGATCAGAAATATAGAGTGAAGTATTATTAACAAATATTAGTAGTATGTTAGAGGTGCGGTCTATATCATTTTTAAATTTTAAATAAACTAACTGTACATATTACATAATATACTATAGATAAAATTATATATTTTTTTCAATTTTACACGTATCTCATTCATCGTGTTACGATCCATCCCATTCACTCAATCAAACCACGCTGACCAGAAAATGAACAGCTTCGTGAAATACGATCACGGATCGTCTGCCAGTGAATTTTTCGAACTCACTCGACGCACCGATGCCGATTTTCGAAGAAAGATCTACGACTTGAGTAAGTATAATGCGATTACCTACCCAACTAATACACGATTTAATTACTTATTTTTTCGGTGAAATTGTCCACACCCGTTTTATAACGATGCCCCACTATTTGTCTGATGGCAGCGGCCATGATTGAATATAAGTAATATATCTAGCTATACACGTGGCACGAGGAAAAAAATAAAAATAATAATTGGGCAAGTTTTTCTGTAATTTAAATTCGTCTACTCGTCTCACAAACACAAAAGTTATGGGGAATGTTATTTCTTCATTATTGCTGCGGGTCGTGTGTCCCGAGGAGTATCGTCGAAAGCCAAAAAGTTTTCACTCAGCTTGCGTTCATACGAGCCAAGACGAAATAACTTCCACCTGCAATTTCCTCGAAACATTCCACGGAGTCTTATTATTGTGTACACTGCTGTACTGGGAGAATTTAACACTTTTGATATAAAAATACGATTAACGCATCCAAGCTAATACCTATTAAGATATAATAATAATATTATGTTTCACATTCCGTATTGATCGGTGTCACCAATATTTTGATTAATATTATACGAAGATATATTATAACATATTTTAATATGATAATATGGTTTTAGTCAGAGCGTTTATTATATTGATAATAATTCCACTGTACGGCTGTAGGCGTGTCGTTGCATTTTCAGGCTTTTTTTTTGGCAATGAAATCCATTATAAATGAGGATAATTATAAGGATTAATACATTTTACGTTACAAGTAAAATCACAAGTTTAAAGTTTATACTTGTGTATACTTTTTAACTGCACTATTTTTATGCATAATTGATAATCGTTCAAAACTTTATACTTATTTCAAGAAAAATAATAAGCTTTCCACTATTCTGTACGATAGTATACCTTATTTACCTTAAATGTATTATATTTCCAATATTGGAAACTACTTATATAGAACACTAACATTAAATTGTTTAAAAACTTTATGTTTAAAAAAAAAAGTATATACAAATGTATTGCAGTTTGTTTTAATGTAAATGTTTTTATAATTTTAAAAGTATAACTTAGTTAACTTTGTTCAATCAAACTATTTAAATAATTTTTATTGAGTTTTTTTAACTCTAAGATATAATTGGAATAATACTTTAATTATTTAAATAAATATTAATTACCTATTATAGTGAATGTGTGTACATTCCTACTTCCCAGTGCATATTTTTCCCTCTTAAGAACATCCAATTTATATTCATTTTTAGTAGGTACTCTTTTAGAATATTATGTTTTGAAGCAGAGAGTCCTATACCTATATAGGTATATAAGTTTAAATTTAGAACTTTTACAGTTTAATTTAATTTTAACAAACTAGATTGTGTTATAGTGTACACAAATAAAACATTTCTCTAGATTATAATATTGTAATGTTTTCGTTTAAATACCTGAAAGTTATAATGGATTTTTCGGACACATATATTTTTAGAGATAATAATAATAATAAATTAATTATTTTGTATGTCTGCAAAATATATATTTACTAGGTAAGCAAACATTAGTTCACTGACTACATTCTACCCGTAGATTAATTTCGTTCGAATAATAATCAGGACAATAGGGTATTGCCTAATTGAATTAATTATAAACATGTACTATTTTTTCTATTCACGTCGTAATCAAAGTATCCACTATAAACGTTGCTAACAAACGGTATTCAATGTACATACGTGAATACTATTGTAACGAATTCTATACCTAATCGTATTTTATTTGTACCCATGTGTTTGCAAATAATTAGGAATAACGTTAAATACTTATTTTTTAGTACCTAACTACTTCTGATGTGTATAACGAGTTAATCTAACAAGGATGTGTATAATAAAGATATATTTGTATACATATTATATGTTTTTTTGTTGATTTCATTGCTTACAAAATATTAGCTTGCTCCTCGCTTTGATCGCAAAATTGTTCATTTGGTTCGTCCAATTTATGAATATGGGACCTGTTCCTTTGAGACGCTTCCAAGGTAACTTACTACTTAATGCTTGAAAAAGTTCATCACAGATTCCTGCACTTTGATTGACTTATTCTCGGAATTTCTTACACCCCACGGTTATACTCTCATCCTTCGTAGTTTTAATTTATCCAGCTTATTTGACCGCGGAAAAACAACAAACCTCAGGTTCCTTTACAAACTTTGTCGCGTAGAATTGACAGTCCCGAGTTATTGGCATAAATACATTTAAGGACCTTTACCCCAAAAACAAGATCGAACTTTTCTTTTTCCTAACCTAACACTTTAACAAATAATATTTCTTATTAATATTCAAGCACCTCGTACAACTTGAAAATGTTGACCCCGATTTTCAATAAATTCCTTTTTTCGAATATTCATCAGAATAACAACTATCCATTTTCAGGAAATCAAGATTGTTTTTGATGTGTGCGTGTTTTTACTATATTTGCCTACTATTGATTACTAAAATGACTACATGCTTACATTTTTTTTTAAATATTCCAATTGATTTTTTATTATTTTTCTGCAAACCAATCAACAATAAAATAAAATACTAATGTCATTTATTTTGACTATTGTCTCATACAATTTAACATGTATTGTATTTATAATAAACTATAAATGCACTCAGATGTTTCTTCAACAAATCTCATAAGGTTTTAATTATTTTATATAAAAAACGGATTTTATGTTCGAGGTAAGACAAAATCCTACATAGGGTAAATTTTATCCCTATATAGACCCATGGTGTAAATACATGCCCATAGTCACTTAATTCTTTAAAATACGAAATAAATGTAGATAAAAACATTAACATTTTTACAGTTGAATTAATTCATGATAATTTAGATCAATCTCGTAAATCCTGAAATATACCATACATACGTTTACATTTTAGTCTAAACGGAATAAATTAATTCCGAGTTTGCTATAAAGTATAATGTTATAAATCTTACACCGATATTATATTTTGTTTAGCAAAAATCTTTGTCGTTTTAATTAAGTATAAAACACTTTACTTGCATACGACTGTTCCCGCCTCGAAGTGGTTCTACGTATTATCTTCGTTGCGTTTGTAATATTTTATTGCAGATTACCCAAATAATTTATACCGGTTTTAAATCCATTCCAATTGCCTCTAATTCTCCCTAGGCCATCCGTTCCTCTTAATTCGTCGTAAATGTTATCTTTTATGCTAATTTCTTATCTTACTTTGTAACATTTGCCCATTCCATTCCAACTCGTTCTTTACCATTATTATTTACGGTGTACGGTCACATAATTTTGTATTCCGTAGTTCCTATAGTCATACAATATATATTTTTTATTATTACAATGCATTCACATTTTTACCTCCAAATAAAAACTGTATATTGACTAAATTTGCTTCAATCGAATTATGTACATTCACATATTGTACCTATATTTACATCCATAATATTAATAATATAGATACCAATATCATTGGCTAACCGTATCTAGTTGAAAGATTATAAGTTATTCGCATTTAAAATAAGTTTAAAAAAAGTTTAACTTTTTAAATGACGTACTTCATATTATTCCTGATGATGTGTAATTAACTTAATTCTCTAATGGTAAGTATTCGTTACGGTGTTCATATTTTTTATTAACATTCTTGCATTGCGAATTCTTATCTACTAATACTACAAAATATAAGTGTACAAATATCACCACCAAAGAGTCACAGTTTATCAAAAAATTGTTGGTGACATAATTTACCATGGTTAAGTAAAATATTTTCAGACATAAATTCAAATTTATTTAATGTAACTGACACTAACTGTGTATCATTATACTAAAAATAATAATAAATCTATAAGGATACAATTATATTTTTATACAAAAATAATATAGCTAGTTAAAGCTTAAAAACTATTAATCTATAACACTCTACTATAGGATATTATACATGCATTTAAATAATTACCTAGGTATTTAAATTAAATCATATCGTCCACTAGACTAAAATTAATTAAATTTGTCATAACTAAATTATTTTACCCATTTGTTATTTTATGAACAATTAGGTACATTTTCTAATATAATGATATTGTTATAATAGTTAAAAAATAGATTTTTATTTAATAAAAAATAAAAATAGGTATTTATTACAGTAATTAATTAGATCTTAAGTTTTTATCTCTTCTATATCTTAAGTCACAATTCTGATTATTTTACTTCGTATAATTTTTTTTATTATTTATCACGATACAAAGATTTTGATTCAACACATTTTTTTGGCACAACTTTTATTATTATCCACCTTAATTCCTAGTTTGTAAAATTAAAATTAATACGACATTTTAACTGTTTATTTTTTGTAATTTATTTTAAGTTGGTAGGTCATACGTATAATTTTAATTAATATTGATCTAAAAGTTAAGTAAAGGTTGTTTATATAGTTAGTAATTTTAATTGTCGTAATAGTAATGAATTTGATTTTAATGTACGTGGATTACTTAAGTGGTTTTAGCAAATTTTTAGTTTTTGTTCTATTAGAAAATTAAAAATTACGTTTTAATATAATGTAGCGTGACCCACATCATGAGAAAAATACATTTGGATCCTTCGCAGAACTATCCAGGGACCAGGGTAGAGACCTATAGTCTACCACCACATGAAGTAGCGATAATTTTTTTTTAGTTCCGAGTACTTTTCAAATACTATAAAATGAATAATTTAGAAGTCTAAACCCCTCAGCAACATACATTTTTAATTAAAAAATTGAAGGCATATTCAAATCTTCTAATTATATTAATTTAAGGAAGAATGCGGCATATCAAAACCATATTAAAATACGTGTGTGTTAGACTTTTTGGAATATTTGTTACTATCTAACCTAATTAAAAATTAAATATTTACCTATTAAAGTATTTTATCAATTAACTGTTATGCTATTTTTATCATATTATAAACCTCTGTGTGTTATAATGACATCGGTTCTGTCATCCAAGCAACACGTCCATATCTTATATGTAGTGGGTAGGTATTTAAACTATCAA